GAGATTCAGTGTAATGGTTGTGTTAAATTTTAATTAAATAATCATTGTACCTATATGAAAAACGATTCTGATATACATAATGAAATTGTTAGTGTAACTTACTTGTGTTATGAAATATATTTAAATATCACTCACCTTGTTCTGTCCCCTTTCTAGACAAATATGACAAAACTAGAAATTCTCAGCCCTAGTAATTATGATCAGGGTTAGGTTTTTAAAGGAATTTGCCTATTACATATAAAATAATGGCTGAGTAAGCTTAAAATTGGTTTTAAGTCTCAACCAACTCAAGTTTTTGTCATTTTAACCTTCCCTTAATAATATTTTAATAAAAATCGTACAATGTATTATTATTTATTTATTATTAAACTAAAGACAATCCTTATKATAATTTCTTTATTATTTTCTTATTTCTAGGTTTTTTAAAGGTATAATTCAATATACGAAAACATACTTTTTTTTGGTCCATTTTCCAAACGCGGCAAGCAAATTAACAGGCACAAAACGGACAGTGTCAAGTGTGGTATAATATAATGTCTTTTGTTCATACATTCCGCCGATTAGGATCCCACTCGAGTGCCCTACCACGACATGTCTCTGGCGGTCAGCGGCAGGAATCGACCAGTTCCGAGTCCCGACCAAATGCTCTATTGTGACCCCTATGATTAGAAATAATGTGATTTGTTTTTCCGGTCTACCCGGGTGGTTTATTCGGATCTGCCAAAAAAAAATATTGTGGCTAGACCCTAATTGATAAAAATATTATGTGCTATTACTTATTATATAATATTGTAATATTCTTTTATCGATGTAAAACTCATTATTTTTCCGATACCTACTTTCTTGAAGTAATCGTCTCGAAGATATTGGTGTGGTAGCGGGGTTATCTTTACAGATATATTAATGAATGGTAAAATTTTTTTTGTTGGTGTAAATTAGTTTGGTTAGCAACGTGACTTGTTTACAGTGGCGGCTTTTACATGAATATGACCTATGACTAGGTATTGTATTTTTAGCAGCACTGCCACCTAAGACACCGACCATGTGCAGTTATGTGCAGTTCTAGTTATTCTTTTACAATTTAAATGTATAATTATGATGAAATGAATATTGTTCCGTACACATTGAATAAAAGCGATAATCACATTATCGTTCGTCATAACAATGACTACGTTAATATCGACGAGTCTATCGATAGCATCGGCACGAGCAGAATTAGTATACCTGTATGTAACCACCTTTTGCATCACGATCTCATACGAGGAGTTGGTAAATTGCGTCCCCCAAAAAAGGTCATAGTCATGTACTACTATGTAAATTGCGGCCCATGTACTTTTRAAACATACATAAATTGCGTCCCGGAAATATTTGGAATGTACGTAAATTGTGTCCTGGAATATTCTGATTTCCGGTTGACAGTACAATTTAAAGATAAGTATTAATCTTTGATTGGTCGATCTGGATAATAATAATATGTTCACTAATATAATATTACTAGCAGCCAGTCTGCATTTGATCGAAGATATTACGCACGAGGTTTTACGTTGCTCAACAGTTTACATTTTTTTTTTCAATTTTATTCAAATTTATTATCCATTATCTATACAATTATATTGACAGTCCTAAGTCTGAAAAATGAGAAGGAAAATATTGATTTTGCAAAAAAAGCCTTAGACGTAATTATTACTTATGAATAAAAAATATTTAGGTAGGTATACATGCAAAACTATACCCAGGCCGCAATTTACGTATGTATAAAATATATCCCAGTCCGCAATTTACGTATGTACAAAATATACCTGGCCCGCAATTTACATAAAAAATTAAGAATGGGACGCTACTTACAGTGACCGCTCATACGCATAGGTAAAAACCRTTAGTTTATATATTAATCCGGTTTGAAGTTTCTGGGTTGACTTTGAGGGCCTGGGCACAAAACTTTGAAAGCTCGCCCTGGCCGAATAACTTACTTGCAAACT